TAGATTTTTAGCTTTATTTTGATATATTTTTTATTAATTTCTATGCAGTAGTTTTTGAGTAATGAATAAATAAAAAACTCCAAAAAGTTTTGTTACACACTGTATGTATAATATATATGTATTTTTATTTTATTTATTATTTTGAAAAATGTTGTAATGATGAAAATGTATTTAAGGATGCTCTTTTGACCTTTAATAAAAATTAACTAATAATTTTACAACCATAAAATTATCTTTTTCACACCTAAAAGTCTTAATAAAAGGATTTTTATTTTTGACTTTTATACCATAATTGGTTAAAGAATAAATAACATCAAATTTATATCTTTTCCAAAGCATTTTATAGAGTCTGATACAGTCAACTATCATGTTTTAATTGTGTATACTGGGTTAATATAATTTTTCTCATATATGACAAACATAAATGTACAGTATATATAAAGCAGTATTAAATATAGCATATTGTGTGTCAATATATAAGGCCTCAGTTTCTTTATATCAAAGAAAGTCTAAAAATTGCTAAGGCCTTATTAATTAAAAAATAAATAGAGAAATATTTATATATTTAAGATATTTTTCTGCTTTTTTGCAATTTTATCTTTTTTTTTCTCAACTTTATATTATAATTTCTTTATTTGCTTCAATTCACTTCTCATTCTGTTTAGCAATTTATTAAATAAAAGAAACATGTTTTTTCATTATATTCCAATAATTATCAACGCTCTTTTAACTCGGCGATTGATCACTTGCTACTTGCAAAGCAAGGGCACTTATGTACCTGATCACACACACGCACAAGTACTAGTTTCTGAAGTTTATATTCCGCGATCGGCCATATATATCTGTGTATTATACTAGCTTTGATATATATAAAGGATTTTTGCATAAATTACTTCTTGCTTATTTTTGAACATAGATTTATTTAATATACTGTATATGGATTTTGATACTGCACATATTTGAAAGTAAAATAATTACTTAAGAATATATTATAAATCACAATGCCTAAAAATTATCTTTGAATAATGCAATAAAGAAAGCAGAATCTCGTGGAAGAAATGCCTTTCTGCAGAGTATATCAATAATACAATCCCAGTGCTTTTTATATACAATAAATTTCATAAATGGACTACTCGATTCTATAATAAAACGTCCACTGCGGTCTGAAAAGCGGATTCAAGCACACTATTTCCTAATGTTCTTTTTTTGTCTCAAATTTTCCATTATTCCCTTATGCAATTTAAGAATACATCCAAATCAACGTATTTTGGCTCATTTGTGCACTTCGTGAAATAATTTTCGAAATGAGCATCGTTATTTTCACTTATCCCGCAGTCTCACATAGAGATTCCAATTTTTTCGGATAATATATTTACCCACCTCCTTTTGTAAATCTTGCGGAGACGTACGGTCTAAAATAAATTATGTTCTTTAGTAAGAATATGAACGAAGAATATGGTATATGAGAATCAATAACTTGATAGATTATAAGCTTCCACGTGACCCTACCTAAGATTTCTCTCAACGTTTCCAAGTTTGAAGGATTTCCAAATTCGGGAGGCAATGGATAACTTTTATTTCTGTATTGGCTCGACAAGCCTTCATACAATGATCATAGGTGGTATAGTATGGAAAAAGCGATATATAGACTTCAATACTTACGATAACAGAAGAAAACGCCCCATCGTGAAAAAAATTTTGGAAGACACATAACAAAAAAAATGAAAATAGGTCAGAGATGTAATCTATACTCATATGTTCAGGTGATATCTAACATATTAAGTCGATTTAGGTTTAGTACAAAATTTTTGTTGTAGTTTAAACGAATTAAGCAGTGATTTTTTTCCCAATATAAAAAAACAAAGAATAAAAATAAACCGAAAAAAAACGAAACCTATAATTAAAATCATCAAACTCACCAAAATTGTCATAAAGATGTCTCCGAAAATTTATCAATACCCTTTTATGATAGAATAAATTATTTAGGAAGCATTATCACTTTATGAATAGATAGTTCCTTTTGTTTCTTTTTTCTAAAAAGATTTTTTTCTCTATGGTGATAAATTAATATGTATAATAATATATTTCAAGATTTAAATATTAATTATATAACATATTTTACTCAATTAACAAAGATCATAAGAAATTCCTTACTTAATATTTAAAAAAAATACTAAACAGCTTTATTTTTCTACTCTAAATAATATATAAGTTGATATAACTCTATCATGTTTGAAATTATTAAGGTCAAAAATTTTTTTTCAACTTTCTTTTTTAAAAAGTTTATACAAATTAATAAATCCTTTAACAATAATTACAAAATATTAACAATAATTTTAAATTTTTATAGAATTAAATTACATGAGTAAAAAAACATATTACTATAACAACAAGAGTAAATAATATAACACATCCATATTATTATTATTAAACAAATAAATAGAAAATATTACTATTGTAGAAAAATAAAATAACATATAAAAGAATATAAAGATTCTATACTATACAATTAAAAGAAAAAAATTAAATAATAGTAAAAAACAAATTATTTGATAACAAGGTTGAGCTTATATATTGTTATATGTCAATCCAACCTTAAAAATCAGAATAGGATAGAGAACTGATAGCAAGGAGACACTTTAGATAGACAGGACCAATGTGATATGCTATAGTTTATAGGGAAAGTATATTTGGGATTTCAAAGTTTATAAGGCAAGAGACATAACAATTATAATTATATGAAGACAAATATAATTATAGTGAATTATAAAGAACAGTTTATTATCAAAATATTATTACACTTCTAATTCTATCAATTCCATCTTTAATTCTTCTACAAGTCTCTATCTATTTTCTTTACAACTTTTCTATAATTTCTTTATTATTTTCTCCTTTGTACATGAAATACATGATTATTTTATTTATATAAAAATAAATAAAAATATAATTGGTATACTAAATTATTAAGAGTAACAAATAATACAAATATGGAAATAGTTAATAAAAGATTAATTTAACATGTTTCTCAATCCTTTGTATTTATAACTTGGGGATTATTACTTGATCATATAATATAATAATATATTTTTAATTGGATACTATAAATATTTGATCAAAATTCTTGTTTATCACAAAAGTGATAACCAAAATCTTTTTCCAGATTCTAAGTAAAGTTGTTTAATATATAAAAATACTATAGGTCTATTATTAGCGAATTAATATATTGAATCTATTTTTGATATGGAATTTCCTATTTTGGAAAAGTTAAACTTTTAGGTTTAATAATTTTTTTTCCTGTAGTCAAACAAGTGCGTACTGTTTATTAAATCTTTACAGAAAACAAATAATGTGTAATACATCATATTGCATAAATTATTCTACTGCCTTGAACACTCGTCTTTGACTGCTGTCTTTAGGTATGACTTTGGAGATGAAAATGGTTGCTTCCTTTATGATTTACTTGCTTATGGAATTCAATCTTAAAGATAATTGCTTATAGTTCATCACTACAGTTACAAAGCTATATATATATATATTGTTTTTCTGTAAATAAACATCAATTCTTTATTTATTCATATATTATAAGATATACATTTAGAAAAAATTAACATTTCTTGAGTGCAAAGCATATAACAAGTTTAATGCTAGCCTACTTATTAAAACTATAAATAGCTAATACTGAAAAGAAATTTTTAAAACAAAATATTGTTGCTAAATATAGGCCAAGTAATAGTTATATTTACCTACTTAAAAAAAAATATTTGAGATGTAAGAAGAATTTAAAAAGAAAAACATAAAAAATTCTTTCTGTTAATTTATTTACCAACTCAAAAAACATGTTTTCAAAAAATTTTATATTTTTCAGATAATAAAGTCTATATACTTTCCTTAACAATACTGATTCTCTAACTAGCAGAGTGAGTAGCAGTCACCACTTGTTCTCTTTTTCTTTTTCAAACACCTTCTTGCATATTTTTGTAACTAAATATAAAAAATATATCCAAAAGATCTATGGCAAGAACACCTTTCTAAAAAGAAAACTAATAAGAAAAAATATCCTCCAAAGATTTCCAGAAGGTTCAAAAGCCCAGAGAAATAAAAAAAAAGAAGCCTTTAGTTTTTATATCATATTCCTAGCCTCTCTCTTCTTTTTTCTCAAGTATGTTTTCTTTTTTCTAGTTTTTTTAAAGAATTTTGCTTACTTCAGTTTGACCATGAATTTTTGGTTACACTGGACTTTCCTGCAAGATGATTGGTCAAGGTCACAGATTGATTGATTACGTCAGTCACAGAAAAAGTAAACAAGACACATCCTCCTATATGTTCCAAGTTACATAACATCAAATTAATAATGTGATTGGTTCCAGAAAGAATTGGATAGTTTTTTAGTTAAAGAAGTAGTAAAGGAGTTCTAAGTAAAGTTTGAAGTTATAAGTAGAGGAAGAATAATTTTCTTTTTGTTTTTTCCTTTTATTTGTCTCTTTTCTTTTCCTATTCTTTCTAGAGAACTAGAAATAAACATATGATTCAAATCCTATCCCAATCTAGAAACAAGTTAAAGCAATAATGTCTATTCTAAAAATGGTTGGAGAAAGGGATCTTGAAATTATCTACTGGTTAAATAAAGCAATAATTCCAAAAAGACATGACTTGGAAAAGAAATCAATAATAGAAAACCAATATCCTTTCTGGTCAAAAGTCTTCAAGTATAAAGTTTTAAGAAATACTTTTCAGGAAGTATCCTTAAACATTCTTGAATATCATCCACTTTGATGAAAATTAAATAGTCTGACTGATTATAGATGATAACAAGTAAGTATTTATAAGGGGTTTGGATTTTGTCTACTGAGATATCATTTCAATAATAGATAGAATAGATAATAGCTTTTATTTCTTTTTTTTTACATCACTTTATTTATACATATTTGTACTGTTTTTTCTATCCTTATTCTTTTTTCATTTCTTGCCTCTTATATAGTTTCTGCAAAAAAAGAACAACATAATTTGAGTTTATAATTGTAACTATAGAAGTGATCTGCAGGTTGTAATCCTTATGGCATAACTGGATCTTAATCCTAACCATCAGGTTAGCAACATATCACTCCCATAAATTGTATCTAGAGGCTTAGACTTAAGATGGGTAAGCTGGGTCGAGAAAATTTGTACTTTGCATATATTCTCATGTATATAATAGTTCTTTATGATTTAATAAATATACGATATCAGTCTGATTATAGGTTAAAAAAAAAAAGAGAATTTGAAAAGAAGAGAAAAATAGAAAAAATAAAAGAAATTAGAACTAAAACAAAATTAAATAAACTATAAAATCTATAAGAAAAAAAATTATATTTCCAAGAAAACTTCTAGCCAGACTTGTTATTTTCTCTTTCTGGTTCTTTGTTACTTGTAAGTATAATCTTTGTTGACATGGATGATAAGGTATATGTGATTTGGTTTGTTATTGTAGTTATTGCTGTTGTTGTATTGGTATAATTGATGGTTGGTAAAATAATTAGTTTACAGGTCAGTAGTATGATTTTGTTTTGATTGTAATTGCCAAAACTGATTTTGTTTACATTAATTATTGTATGATATTTTAGTTATACGAATTTGTTTTGGTATTTGGTAGTATTTGAATAATTGAGTTTGAGATGGTGATCAATTGATAGGAGTAAACTGATAATAGTTTTTTGATATGAAATTTTTTGAGTAAAAATTTTTGATTTTTTGTGATGCAGCATATTATACCAAGTAATATTGGAGAATAAGTATTGTATATACTGCTAGTGCCTCAAGTCAACAATATAGACAATAGTGGTGTAAAGTTTAGTTTTTTGAGTTAAAAAATAGCCTTTCAAGAACAGAAAATGGATATTTAACAAAAATAGTTTTTTAATAAAAAGTATAAATAGAAAGAATCTCAAGAAAGATTTGCAGAAAAGTAACTGCCACAGGCCTTTTCTTATGCAATCCAAGGAAAAAGTAAGGGCTTCAAACTTGCTTTTTCTTGATCAGAAGTCTATTTCAATACATCAGTATACTCTTTTGGGTTCCTTGAAGTTCTTGTAGTAAAGATAAAAGAAGTAAGAAGGACTTTTGGATATTGAAAGATGAAGATAAAAAAATTGTTTCTTTAATTTTGAAAAAAATTACTATAAAAGAAAATTTTTAAAAAAAATTTTGTATACAGGAAGAGTTTTTTTTTTACAAAGCTATATATTTTATTTTTATTCTTTAATTATTATTATTATATATATCTTTATTATTATTATTTTATATTTTCAAACTATAATAGTAATCTTATAATATTTTGAATTCTTATAAATATTTTGATATATGTTAATTTTTTTTTTTTTTTGAGGCTAAGTACATTACATGGGAATTTTTATTAACTTGATACAAGTTAATTTCTTTTTGTCAAAAAGTATAAATAAACCTTTTTAAAAATTTTTTTCTTACTATTAAACATTAAACATAAAAATTATATTAATATTGTTTTAATTAAAAAATTAAAATTAATATAAGAATATTAATTAATATTTTTATATAATTAATAGTTAATACTATATACAATATATACTATATTAAGAAAACCTGTGGGTCCATAGTGTAGTAGTTAACACTCCACAGGTCAGATCACAAGATATCAGTTCAACCCAGGTGAAGGTGGTTAAACCGAATTAAA